TGTGTAGAGCAATAGTGGGCGATCTTATCCGCAATGGGGCGGTGTGCATGCAGATTTTTGGGATAACCTTTACGTCAGCTGTGCTGTCCAAACCCAGGTGTGAGGACTCTTCAGCCAATCAGTCCTCTATTTAGTAATCTAATTAGGGAGTTACAGCGAAAACCCGCATGCACATCGGCCCTTTCTGGATAAGACTGCCCACCCCTGGTGAAGAGGGTGCAGCAGAGTCCCTCACATGTCCTTGCAGGAAACGAAGATGTCCTCCACCAGCTCGACGTCATTGAGCATCAGGGCCAAGCGCAGAGCCTCTGGGTAGCGGCCAAATTTGCGGAAGATGTTGAGGCCACACTTGAGCAGAGCCGAGTTCTCCGGCTCAGGGACGTAGCTCACGCAGCTGTGGAGATAGACCAATGATTGCGCTACAGAGGCACACATGGGGCAGAGACGTGCTCTCTGTCGGCTAAGCTATTCTAGACTGCAGCCGGAGACTCTCACCTGGTCAGGTAGAGGCAGACCTTGGCGTAAGCGTTTTCGTCGATGTACTGCTCCAGCATGTCTAGCCGCTCGATCTCCATCAGGAGGTCACAGGCTTCGTGCTCGGCATTGTGGCCCATGTTATAGGGCACAATCTCCTTAACCAGCTTCATTAGCACCTCCTGCTGGGCCGTGTCGCTCTCCTCCACCTCCTGCCACTCCTTGGCTACTTCTCCTGCTAAATGTCTGAAACACAACACAACCAGATGTTAAAGGACCAACAAAGGCCACCTGCAATGCTAATTAACTGAGCTATCAACTATACTGTGACCTTTAACTTTATTCCAGATTCATTTGTAAAAGTGGTGCCCTGTTACTGGAAAAAATATATATATATATAGTTTTAATATTGAGGCACTTAGCCAGTTATTAGTAGGCCAGTTTTAATGTCATAATGAACAGATTTCATTTATTTGTTATCACAAATGCCCAATACTATATTCTAATGACTGATCAGTCTTAATATGGCTGAAAGCTCATGCAGGGACCGCTTAGGTATCTGGCCTCCACCTCCCTACCTCACATATTCATGTCCCCAGGAGTCCAGCTTTTCCTGCGAGCCCAGGAGGCGGTATTTCAGACACTCACGGTCCCCGCTCATCGTCATGGCGAGAACAGACACTACGTCTGCGCAGAACCGCTGGCACAAAACGGGGAAAGTGAGGACAGCAGTAAGGACTTGAGTTGACTCATGACCAGTGTTAATTTTGGCAGCAAATTTTCATTTAGTTTTAGTCATAGTCTTTTGACTAAAATGTAATTTAGTTTCAGTCATAATTTAGTCATCTAAATTATTTTAGTTGACTAAATATCATAAGATTACAGTAGACTAAAACTACAGTTGATTTTACGATTAAAAGTGCAAAGTGTAATGTTTAAAGTGTCCCTTCGATTTCTGAAAGTCATTATATTCACCAAGATGAAATGAAACCGATGTTAAGGAATGGTATTAAGGTCTGACTTTCAGTACACCGACACAGATTTCACTCTTATTTGAAACACAAACATACGTTTGTTTACAAGGAAACTAAGTACTGTAACAACAGTAGTGCCATTAGTGCTAGAGCTGGACGATTTATCGATTTCAATAATAACAGCAGCTAGCAACACAATAGCGCAAACAAAAGGGCTGCATACGCCGAAGTAGTTCTTGCTTGTTCATTGGCATGGGAAAAGGCGGTTCTAGTGTTATTAGGAGGGTAATAAGCGTTACCTGCAAGATCGCTATTTTTCTTTTTGCTGCAATTGCTTTCATTATTACTTTATTTAACTTGACACATCACATCTTTAAATTCTCATCCTTGCATTAGAATTAGAATATGATGTTTTAAAATTACTACACACTGAATATTGAACTGAAGCTTGACATAAAAAAAAAAAAATCGCAAATCAAATCTTTAATCACAATTTCTGTCAGAAAAATCGCGATTTGATATTTTCCCCAAATCATGCAGCCCTAATTAATGCAAAAATAAAATAATTTCAAAGAAAAACTGCATAGGCTATAATGCCACCAAGCCTGCTGTCTCTGAACATTATATAAAATATAACAAATATTAAAATAAATATTTCTAGACGTAGTTTATTGGTGATTTCATGTTCTTGTTTTCAAGTTTCTGCTTTTTAACAACTGTATAAAGAAATGTTATTTGTTATATAAATCAACTCAGATGAAACAAAAAATGTATATTTTCAGGGTTGCCAAATCTCAAGAATCTGGCATGAGATTCACGCTTTCAGACTCACGCAGGAAATCTTACAGCAAATCTATATTATACCATTATAAACCTAAAATTAGCTACATCAAAAGTGTATTTACACAGTTAAATACAAAAGCAGACTATTTACAAGGTAAGATCTGTAACACATGTGTGCAGACATCTCCAATTGAAAATCTCACTCCAGCCAGCTGGCCGAAGTTGGCAACCCCACGTTTTATTTGAAATGAAAAGTAAAACGCACTGTTTTCGCTTGAAATGACTTGTCATTCCGTTTGCATTGTTACTCTGACAAATATAAAACGAATATGAGAAAAACACGATGTTACGTTTTATATGTTTTCAAAATAATAAGACCTTATCCTACTCCAATAGTGATTATCGAAACCAATACTTAAATCCATGAACACTAAAATATACAACATAAACACAACTGTATTAGGGTTTTATGGCTTGAGTTAAGCACTTTTTTAAACATGCACATTTTCACATTTTATTTATTTTCTCTTATTTTGAAATGCAGCCCTACTTTTATTTAGTAAATGAGAAAATATTATATATATCAGCAGTTATACATATATGTTCAGTTATTGTTTAGTTATTGTGTCGTTTTAGTCTGAAAATAAAGGTTGTTGACGATAACTATGATGAAAATTTTTCGTCGTCAAAATTAACACTGCTCCTGACTACGACAGTGAAGACTTGTGGTGAATCCTGACTGCGACAGTGCGGACCCTGTCTAACTCCTGACCGAGACAGTAAGGACTCAGGGTGACTCCTGACCACGAAAGTAAGGACTCACGGTGACTCCTGACCACGAAAGTAAGGACTCACGGTGACTCCTGACCACGAAAGTAAGGACTCACGGTGACTCCTGACCACGAAAGTAAGGACTCACGGTGACTCCTGACCATGAAAGTAAGGACTCAGGCTAACTCATAACCATGACAGTAAGGACTCGCGGGTACTCTTGATGGCGGCAGTAAGGACTTGCACTGACTCCTGATTGCGATGGTAAGGACTTGCGCTGACTCCTGACCTCGACAGCAAAAACTCATGCTGACTCCTGACTGTGAAAGTGAGAACTCATGCTGACTGGTACCATGACAGTAAGGACTCCCAGTGACTCCTGACCTTGTTGTCCCCATCTGGCATGCCCTGGTAGATCTCCTTCAACTTGCTGTAGTGTGGTCGCAGGAACTTCAGTGGCTTGGGGACCGATGTCATGGAGGTAGTGGAGGAGCGGATGTGTCTGCGCAGCTCCTCCAGGGCTGATTGGTGCAGGGAGGTGTCCTCCTCCTAAACCCAGGAACAGTAAAGGGTTACAGAAGGCAGGCTCATGAGTGATCAAACAGCACCATTCCCATTAGACAGATTTGTCAAAATGTCTCAAGCAGGACTTTCACTATTTTCCCCCAACCGCTTAATCTCCAAATAAGTACTTACACCAAGTCTCTCCACCATCAGCTCCAACTCCTCTTGAAGCTGTTTGTCTTCTTCAGACTGACAGGGGGAAAGCGTTAATGGTAGATGTTACTAAATGAATTTCTTTTCCGAACGAAATTCGTAGGAATTCCCGTTTTGGGAGTTATATTTACAGTACAAACGGCAGTTTTCCTCTAAGTTGCTACATACTAAAGACACTTGATTGATGTCACCCAGAGTCTACACGGTCTATCACCATCTTTCATTCTACTGTACTGAGCAGCAAGGTCTCGCTAACCTTATCAGCAGCTATAAAACCACGAATTCACATAACTTTTATCTAGGTTTATATTGTGGGCACAGCAGAATTTTTAGCAGATCAAGAATCACAAATAACAGTTTTAGTGATCATAAACGGACGGCTTGGCCTGTAAATCCGACTTCGCAGATGACAGTGACTCAGGGTAACGCGCAGGTCTTTCACTGATTTTCTGAACGTGTACGGACAAATCGCCTTTGCTTACCAACTCCTGCTCCTCTTTCTTTTCCTTATCTTTCCCGGCGAGCTGTCCAGTCTCCTCCATTTTTTCGGGTTGTTTATCTTTGTCTTTCTTTGCTTCTTCCATGTTTGCGGCTGTCCAGCAGGATCTCCGTGACGCAGAATTAGCGGCGCCGACTCTGTCTAAGGTGGCTCGCGGAGGCCAAAAGACTTCTAGGGGCTGCAAAAACGAAAACGCCCGATATCGTACACGTATTCAGAGTAATTTTTCAGTTTTTACCTCGTGTGATTGTTCTGACAGTAAGAAAAGGGTACTTCCAGAACAGATGTAAAGCTGTTTCAACATTGGCATTATAGAAAGAGCCTCTTGTATCAATCTTTCTTTAACTTCTGTAAAGAGAGTTTTGCTGTGTAACAGCTATGTAGAAATCTATAGCAGACATCTCTAGATTTATTAGAAATGAGATATTTCGATGTACTACAGCGGTCTAACTTCATGTGTTTATGCACTGAACTACATCATACATTTGATCCACAAATAAAGTGTCCATAAAAATGAGATGGCATTTGACTTTGTGTTCTTGAAACAAATACTACACTGACAAATTCCCAAATCTCGTAGATGTTCAATGATGTGGTATATACTCTAAAATAAGATCCAGTAAAATTCACTGAAAGGCATTTTCACACCAGCATCGAACATTGTGGGCCAAAGCATATATAACCGCACTGCCTTGACACTTGGGGTGCCAGATTCCACTCCCATCGCCCATCCCCACTACGACCACGTGCTAAAAATCACTTTGCGCATGTACAGTTGGAGCGGAAATGTGCGTGTCTGTTTTGAGGAGTAACTGCGCATGTCCACTGGGAGGCACACGTGTCCCTTTCATCCGTTTTTGGTGTGATTGCACTCTCTCGTTTTGAGCGGAAGCTGCTGTCAATATGGAGGAGAAAACTGCTGTTCAGTCAGAATTTTCTTATTTAGACTCCTTTTTGAAGGAGCTACATGCTCAGAACCCAGCGGTCCTTCTCGGATTAGTGGTCGCGGTGATCGTTGTTCTTTTTACGATAGGTGAGTTAAGGTAAAAGCCTAGGTGCATCTCTGCAGCTCAGTTACGTGAAAACTGTGTTGTGAGGAAACTTCTTAAGATATACCGCGCTATTCATCTTTCTGTCTCTGTCAGCTAAACTGACCTGAGGCGTAATGGCATGCAAAGAACACGAGTCCTATATGGTTACCAGGGCTAACGCTGCTGCGGATGTCAGTGTTTTTTCAGGTGTTCTGGAGTAGAAAATCCACCAGAAATGCGATTCTGCTGATCGGACTATGCGACGCCGGGAAGACACTTCTGTTCAGCCGGGTACGTGTTTATTCCCAAGAAATTTACCATCTTATATTGAATTTACTGCAGTGGGCAAAACAGAATGGTCTTATTAAGGCGGACAATATGTTTAAAGAGCAGACGTGTAAGCTTCCAATTTTGTACAATCGGTTGCATTTTCAGAAGAATCTCTCCCTCATATTATACAGTAGAGCTCGTCATGGATTAATTGTTGCATGGTATTTTGTATTACAGCTACTGTCTGGAAAGTTTAAAAGGACTCAGACATCAATCACAGATAGCAGTGCTATTTACAAAGCAAAGAACGACAGGGTAAGGTGCCTAGACAGCCTGTAATATTATGTCAAATATTATAACGTTATGATATACTGTGTTCTCACAAAGGGCACCCTAATGGAATTAAAAAGATGGGTTGCCTGGTTGCATTAATCCTCAGTAGCTGGGAATATGTTTGGGTGGCCGGTCAGTCTGTTCGGTGTAGAGCCTGCTTTGCCTTTGACATCAGGCGAGAAGCTGGACTTTGATTGATCTACCTGGGCATGAGAGCCTGCGCCCGCAGTTCATAGAGAAGTTCAAGTCCATGGCCAGGTAAGGCTGTCAGCTTGTCTCTCTGGTCTCCAGACTTCTACGAGAAGTTAGTGTCTGAACAAGGTCGTCCTGTTCAAAGGGCCATCGTGTTCGTGGTGGACAGCGCCATCTTCCAGAAGGAGGTGCGTGATGTAGCAGAGCTCCTGTACTCCCTGCTGACAGATTCCGTGGTGGTGAAGAATGCCCCTACACTCCTGGTAGCTTGCAATAAGCAAGGTAGGTCCTCATGGATGTGCTTGGCCAAACTGGGTCAGACGAATGGTGATGATGATGAAGGTGACGATAACCACGATTCCTCCGCCCACTTTAGACATTACAATGGCCAAGTCATCAAAGCTGATTCGACAGCAGCTGGAGAAGGAGCTGTGAGTACCTCTGTAATCATGCCTGTCTCATGCATGTGATTGAAGTGTGTCTCCACTGTGTCACGACGTTTGCGCCCCCTGTCTGCCTCAGGAACACCCTGCGAGTGACGAGATCAGCGGCCCTGAGCTCCCAGGATGGTTCCTCTGGGGGCACCAGCGTGCCTCTGGGCAAGAAGGCCAAGGACTTTGAGTTCTCCCAGCTGCCCATGCATGTGGAGTTTGTGGAGTGCAGCGCCCTGGGCGGCGGGGCAGAGGAGGCTGAGTCTGATATGGAGGCCCTGGAGATGTGCCTGGCTAGGGTGGCATGATGCAGTTGGGGAGCGAGAGAGAGAGAGAGAGAGTGAGAGGGGGGGCTGTGACCGCATCATAATGACACGGTCTGTGTGCTAAGTGACAAAAGTCCTGTTTCTTCAGACTATTTTTTTATGACATTTCCCTCTCCCTTTAGACCGTGTAAGATCATTTTACACAAAGCAGCTCGAAAGTAGTATTTTTTTTTTTGGTCACTGTCTCATGCAGGAAGGGTTAGGGAGTCTAGGTAAAATAGGAACCTAGACTGAAAACATGAATATTGAATGTGTGAAGAAAATGTCACCTGCTACCTTTTAGCTTTTAAGTCATGGCCTGGCAGCTTTCCTGAGCTGTTATCAGTTTACACAGGTACCATGTTGAAGAAAATTAAACGAGCTGTTCTCTGCCTGTCTCATCAGCCAGTATTAACCCTACAGACAAATTCCAAGTGATTCCTCTTCAACACCTTTGAAGGATCTATACTTCTCCTTGCTTTCATCTGTGAGAAATAAACAGCACAATCTGGACATTTATGTTTATGCTCCTCACACTCTACAAGCATAGTTTCTCACCTCTTCTCCAACTTGTTTAAGAGGAGTATTTTCTGTTTGTTCTTAGCTACCTTACACACCTTAAATGTTGCGTTCTGTTTTGGGAATAAGTTTTTATCCCATGATGGAAACACTTATGGAAATGTAAAGCGTGGGAGAGTCCGGTTCAGTACCCTCTGTGCTATTTTGGCGGCACAGGGAGAGCGGAATGTTTTAGGTTCCGTGTTGTGGCTGAAATGGCCGGGTTCCTCTCCCTGCCTTCGCTTTACAGCACCACTGACTGTCTGTTCTGTGCCCACAGCAGGTAGTCAAGCAAGAGGCTGTGTTTCTAGAAGTTTGTGTGTCTGTGCCGCATGGTTACAAGTCACAGCCTATGTGTGTCAAATGTAGTCTGTATGTTAAGATTTAAATAAAAACCAAAACGGAAAAAAACTGCTTTACTGGAAAGAATGCATTTATTTCTAAAGATAAATATAGTTGCTAGCAGAAAATAAAGGCAGATGTTACGGTCCAGCTGCTGTCCTCAAAGAGCCAGCCAATAAGCACAGGCTGACCAGCTGCACTCTATGCATTCTGACAGCTGTGGAAGCTACAGGCTCCTTCCAGGTCTGCGGAGGTAGAGAGGATCAGTAAAGACGCTTCACCATTGTCTTACCATCCGGGTCTTTCTCACAAACTTGGCATTTATAATAAATGAAAAAAAGTTGCAATGAAATACAGTGTTTTTTGTGTAGCGCATGGGCGTCGCCGCCATTTAATCTGAGGGGGACGTGCCCCCCTCACATTTCATAATCATTCGTTTGGACCCCCCCACATTTATCATAAAATATTAGTTCACCCAGCGCTGTTTCTATTGCTTTGCGAAAGAATCCATTCCACTTGATCAATATGAGAAAACACATACGGCATCTAATTCATTAAAAAAATTCGGGGGGGAGGGTCCCCAGACCCCCCCCGCCAGTGTGTCCCCCCCACATTCAAAATGCTTCTGACACCCCTGGTGTAGTGCAATTGGCATCATATTAAATTGATGTTGGCATATGTAGGTATATTAAAATTATATCATGGTTGCATTGATTTAGTGATTTTTTTTTGTTTTTTCCCCAAATATCTAGCTGAAAGTCTTGTTACCGTGTATTTTTTTTGTCCTGGTTGCTTGTTGGTTTTACCCTGGATGTTGCCCGGGATTTGATTATATTCTTTGTTTATTTTGTTTGTGTAATATAATAAAACTGATGAACTACCCCAGAGGCAAAATCAACAGTGTAGACAATGAAAGTGTATAATTTGAATCTGTCTTTGAACTAATTTAAAAAATGAGAGAAAACTGATATGATAATAGTGAGAATGATCCGTTTTTGTAACCGTTCAGACTTTGGGTGTCAGGTGTCGACTCACCAGAGCGGCTCTCCTCGCACTTCCTGAGTGATGTCACCATGTCAACATATTTTGCCCCCAAGAACTCCCCAATACTTTGGTTGGGAGGCACCTCCACTAGGCACTCAGTGGAATCTTTGAAGAGGAGATCCACGTCCCCTGTGGATGAGAACATCTTGAAGGTGTCCCCACCTGCTGGCCCGAACCTGGCCTGTGATGTGAGGTGGAAGGAATACAGATGGTGGGTGACAAGGTCTCCACCGAAAGATCTCTACATGTGTCACGTTACAGATGTGGCCTCACCTGCAGCTTATTCAGGACTTTGGTCACATGAGCCCTGCTCTCAGGGCGAGTCACTACAGCATGGGCGGCCACTTTGGCCAGGTGGCAGGTGAGGTAATCAGTGACGGGGGCAGTGGGGCTGTAGCCATTTGGACAGAGCAGCTCAAAGTCTGCCGATTTCAGATTTGTTGCCCATTCTGGACCTTTCCCTGATTGACAACCAAAACACTAATGAATGAACTGCTTTCTCAGCGTTAGCGTAGCCTTAGTACAGTACCCCAAAAATCACTTTTGCAGACGGACTCACCGTCAGTATTCTCATTCACTGTTGTGTGTCTGACAAAGGCAACATCACCAGAACCGTTTGCAAGACATCTGTAGGCAGGTAAGATGGAGAGTTAACTCAGCAGTTATGGAGAGTGTATCACATCAGACTTTTAATTTGAGTGCTCAGGGAATGAGATCCGTCCCTTTCAGGGGCTGTAAAAGAGCAGCAATTTGTAGCTTGTTCCTGAGCCGCTGAAAATTGTACTTCCTGATTTTCATGTTCAGTAAACTCTGGCTCAGTGGGTTAGGATTACTGTACTCGTGACCGGAAGGTGGCAGGTTCAGTTCCTGTGGTATGTAGAGTGATGTCACCATTGGGCCTCTGAGTAAGACCTTCAACACCACGATTACCTCAGAGACTACCTGAGGTTGCTTTCACTCACTAATATCCTCAGCTTTGGATGAAAGCATTTGTTAAACAAATAAAAATGTAAATCTTAAAGGCAGTTTCGATATCTTTCATAGACAGCAAGAAGTTTCCTTTTGTAGCTCCAGCAAAGGGGTTTGGTGAAGCTTCCTCGTCCTCTGCCAGTCTATCTCTCCCACTCCAGAGCTTTCATGGAAAATGCTGGGCACTTTCACTGGAACTCCACCAAAATTCTTTAGCCCCAGTTCTTCCTTCACTTGACCCCGCCCTTGGTCACGCCCACCTGAAGGCCCCCGCATATCCGAAGTATGGCTCTTCTGAATTGGGCTTGCAGGCCTGGTTTGCCCCCCCCACACACAGGGCACAGAAGGAGGAGCCCGGGTTGGCTCCCGGCACGCAGCTTTTGTTGAAGAATTGTTCTGTCCCGTAAATGGCAGAGGAAGAGAGCAGATAGGCACAGTAAGGGGGGGGCGAGCCGAGCCCACAAATCTAGCTCATGGGAATTTTACTTACACAAAAATTGTTCAATCAGATGTCTTGGTCCCGCCTCCTGTAACTGCTTGGACCCACCTCCTCTACAATCTGATTGGTTATCTCTCTGAACCAGTCATTTTTCCTTCTGCCCTTGTAACATTTTTGTGTAACTAAAACTCTCACAATCACAAATCTACCTGCCGTCACTGATAAAACGTGTCATCAGAGCATGGCTCTGAAGAGGCGGTCCAGGGGGTCAGGGCTATGGACTCACTGAAGTTGCAGTCCCCCGTCTGCCTGTAAATCAGCCCCATGGGCACGTTCCAGCCAGCTGTGCGCCCCATGGCCGTGTGGCACGACTTCAGGCCCTTCAGTGTCTCCCAGGTGATGCCGGACCCCTTCCGGACCACGGCCACCACATAATAGGAGGAAGCTTCCGCTGTGTGTGTGTAGGGGGGGGGGGGACTCAGGACACACTGCTCACATGGCTCAAATCCACATGGATACACTACTACCCCCCTGCACTTACCTCCGGCTGAGGTGCAGCTATCTGTAAGAGAGAGGGAGGGGTGTGACTATGTGACAGCTGGAGAAATGGTCACACGATTAGCATCTGCAATACCACTAACACCAGTGTCATGCTGATGTGAGCGGTTGGGGGATGTGTACCTATATCATAGCCCTCCACCATGGCTGGCATGAGGCCACACTTCCCCGCCGTGTACACATCTCCTCCATCCAAGGTGATGGCGTCAGCCTCGTTTTGCTGGTTGGAGAGCAGGAAGTATCAATGTCAAGATGGCCTTATAATCCCAGACCATGAACTTTCACACATTCCAACCTTCACCTGTCCCCATTGTCTCCTGGATTGTGGATTAGGTGACGGGCAGAGCGCCGTTTGTGAGTCTCCATGGCCGCGTCTCTGACATGGCTGTGAGCAGCACAGGGGGGCCCCCGGGGGGGCGGTCTTCTCTCTCTTCCTGTTCATCCTCTTTTTGGCTGACTAAGTACAACACTGCGACCTGCCACATGCAGAAATTTCCTGATGACACGGCCATAGTTGGTTGTATTAGGGAAGGTCAGGAGGGGAAATACTGTACAGGAAGCTGGTGAAGGACTTTGCTGAGTGGCGCAATAAAAACCAGGTGCAGCTCAGCACTGGGAAGACCAAAGAGATGGTGGTTGATTTCAGGAGGTCAAAAAGACCTCTGTTCTCATTCACTATTGATGGAGGGGATTTGGAAGTGATGGGCATGCAGGTACCTAGGAGTGCACCTGGATAACAGGCTGGAGTGGACTGTGAACACAGAGGCCCTGTGCTAAAAGGAACTGGGTCGCCTGTACTTCCTGAGGAGACTCCGGTCCTCTGGAGTCTGCTGGTCTCCGATACGGCAGGTCTGTGGTTGCGGGTTCAGTCTTCTATGCTGTGGTGTGTTGGGGCAACGATGCTACAAGAAGGGACTCAAACAAACTCAATAGGTTCATTGAGAAGGGTGGCTCTGTTCTGGGAATCCACCTGGATTCCTATGACACAACCGTCCAAAAGAGAACACTCAAGAAGATTTGCTCCATTCTGGACAATGTCTCACACCCCCTGCATTACACCCTGGTCACACAGAGAAGCACATTCAGCAACAGACTGACACAGCTGTGCTGCTCCAGCGAGCGCCATCTATGGTCCTTTTTCCCAGCGGCCATCAAACCCTGCAGTAAGTGTCCCCCCGACCCCCTCTCCGCCACTCAGTCACAAGCCCTCTAGAATAGTATTGTTTTGCACACTTTATTTTGCACGTTGCAATCTACTATTATTGTAGTGTGTCTTTCGTTTATGTGCAGTGATGGCATTTTTTGTGCGTGCTGCTTTTGGTTCCTTGGGGATCAATAAAGTACTACTACTGGTTCCAGAGTCATACATACCAGTATCTTCCTGATGCAGTCATTTGTCGTGCTGGCACTGACGCATCTGATCCCTTCCACATCCAGTGTGTTCATACTGTGGTTCATCCACTGACTGCACTTCACTGCCTCAGCTTTCCCAACTGCACACCACCTTAATGCGCCGTGCTGTTTTGTCTCTGTGGGCGGAGTAATGCAAATGAGAAGACGTGTGATTGGTTCCCCCCGACCCTGGAGGAGTGAGGTGGCAGGTGCTACATGCTGATTCGCCATGCTGCCCTGATAATGTTTGTTTATGTTTATTTATTTATAGAGCAGTTTTAAACAATAAGAGTTGAACCCAAAACACTGTCCAGACAATATACCATTAAAAATAATACAAAATGACAAAACAATGTAACAAGAGCAATTTAAAAGACAATAAAAGAAACAAGTGAATAAACAAAAACATTGAGAGGCTAAAAAACAGTGACAATTGATAAGCAAACAACTCTCAAACTGAATGAAAGGCTAAGGAATAAAAGTATGTTTTAGACGAGATTTAAAAACAAGCAGTGAAGGTCCCATTCCAATTTAGGGGCCAGGACAGGAAAAGCTGTGTCACCTCTCTGTTTTAGCCTAGACTTTCTGTCAGTCAACAAAAACAAATCAGAATCTGAGAGACCTAGGTGGGGTACAAGGAGTAATAAGGTCAGTAACGTTGGTAGGACCAA